GGCAAACTTTCAATTACTTTTGCTGTACGAGCAGCCAGTAGATCGGTTGAGATATTCATATCATCAGTTTGGTTATCAGCTTCACCATCACAATCAGATTTTCGTGAATCTGACAAGTTTTCATTTCTTTTTTTTGCCTTATATAAAATTTGAGGGTGTTCCAGTGGCTTCACCTTGACACCACTAGCAGACGTACTCGGCATATCTTTAAGTGCCGATGTATTGGATGAAGACTTTATAGTTTTTACGTCTAATCAAAATAATTGAAATAATATGTGCATTAATATAAATAATGTAATAAACACTTTGCATTCTATAACATGTTCATTCTATTGCTTTAAATTACTTTAGAAACCTGAAATGTAATCACTTACCCAAGTTGGAAGGTGTACTGTCAGAATCATGGGACAATTCGTTTATTTGAGAGCCACTGGAAAAATTCTCAGTTCCGGTAGGACCCGTATTATTCGTACCTAAAATATCATCATCGTCATCATCATCTAATTCACTTAAAGTATGATAAAGAGTTTCACCAGATATATCCGATATTGTGTATAAATCCGAAGCAACATCAGATAGATTATCTAGATCTAAAATCAGCAATTACATCAATTAATATTATATTATGTAATTTATGTAGAAAGTATGGCTTTTACTCACTCAAAGGATCTTCTATTGGATCATTATTGATAATTTTTTCTGGCCTGACGATAGTAGCAGCAGGCTTATTTTGTCTTTTGCGGCTTTCCACGGATATTTTCGTGGTAATTAAAATATCACTGCCGGCTGTTTTTCTATTAACAGAGGTGGCAGAGTCTAGGCAACGGCTTGATTCATAAGAACTTTTCTAAAGTTTACAAATTAAAATTTAACAATAAACAAAAAATCAGTATGCTTCAAAAATAATTTTCGCTTACAGGAATTCTTTTTAATTGCTTCTGCTGATTTTGTACTGCTGATGAATTGTTTTTTATGCTAGGGGAACAAGAAGATTCCTTAGGCGCACCAACTCTCTTATTTTTAATGGTTGGGCGTTCAGGTTCCGATGTTGAAGGAACGGCTGGAAAAAGAAAATCAGGTAATGCATTTCGTTATACTATTTGAAAAAAATGAATACACCTTTTGAGATTGTTTTGCTAGTAGGAGTTGAATTTACGGTTGACATTGTTTGCGAAACTGGTGGAGTCTCCGAAGCCGTTGATTTTAAATGAAGTTCATCAGATATATGTTCGCCTAATAGTAATAGTGAAAAATAAATATGAAACCCCTTTATATACGTACAGTCATTTTTTCGATCTAAAATTAAACACTTCTTTTGGCATTTTGTGTCACTATCATTCTGCTTACCTAAGTCTTTTACCAAGTGATCGGTAGAGTCCATACTATCTTCTTTTTGATTTAAAATATGTACAACTGTGAGAAACAATATGAAAAAGGCAAACTCTTCATACTTATTATTTTTGAACTCACCCTTGTTCTCTGGTAAAGTATCATCATCTGAATGAATATCAAAAAAATAATTGAATACGTCCGGGTCTATTGAAGATGAGGTATCATTATCATCATAATTTTCCTTTTCTGCTGCTATCGCTTTAACAGTTGCGTCCGTGTCAGCAACCGTTTTGTCTGCGAAACTATCACCACAAGAATTTATTTCTTGAACGAAATACAAGAAAAAGGAGAGATTAAGTAAGTGAAAACATGTTTTTGGCTTTCCCCATTTCCTTATATTTTCATACTTACCCGGTAACACTATATCTTCATATCCCTCTAAATATTCGATATCTTCCATTTTATTTTTTGCCCCATAAATTTTTTCGAAAATAAACACACTTAATCATTGCAAAATTTTATGAAATTGACTAACGGTATTCGCTTTTTTCTTGATTAAAAGAACTTTGCTTTCCTTTTCCACAATTCAGTTTACAATAATATATATGCACAATAAGTTTCAACTCTTCTTTAGCGTTCTTTCTGCAGAAAAAAAGTGCTTTTTATTTTTCCCCTTTATCCTAATTGAGTGTGCACCGACCACTTTGCGATTTTTTTACGAAAAATGACTTGCAATTTTCATGGTTTTTACATGAATTCCAATAGAACTTTTATGAAACTTATTGAAATTCATTGCCTGATTTAAAGAATTCTTTGTTTATTCACTTTATTTTGCAAATTATAAAAAATATTTCGCCTTAAAAACACAGAAAAATAGTCTGAAGCGCGCTTTTTCCAGAAAATGTAATGAACAAAGCGTACTTAAGAATGACGTTTGGGTACATATTGCAGCCTTGCCATATGTCTGCTCATTTTGCAAATTGTAATCCTACGGCGGTAGAGATACTAAAATTATTCTTCCATTTGTCAGTCAAAACACAACTAACTTGTGCGCGCATATCAAACATCGAATTTAAAGTTATTAGGTATCAAACATGGAAGCTTGCTTAATTTTTATTAGGCATTACCAGGGTTAGTGTGTTATATGCTTTTTTTAAGTAAACAACCAAAAAAAAAAGAAAGAGAAGAAGAAGTAAGGACAATTTATTTTTATAAACATAAGGTCTGGGATATATAAAAACATAAGGTCGACAAGCAATAAAACTTCTCTTATATTCCCACAAATTAAAACAGCAAAGTACTTGACACAATAAAAACCATGACTGCGCATGACTGCATTACGATATCACTATAAAACCGAAAGTAAATCAATTTATATAAACATTTAAAAAATATGGTTTAAATAGCAAAATGTGAGATATCAACACAAAAGATAACGATAGCAAAATTCGCATGAAAAAATAAGCACTTTGAAATTAATTGATGAAGAAAGTAAGTTAAAACTATAGTTGGTTACGGCCAACATTAAATATCCTACGCAATTCTACAGCTATTCATATAACGTCTTTCTAATATGAGGAGTTCTATGGGAATCCGTCGTAAAAGCGCACTGGTCTGAACCGTTACCAATAGCCTGAAATTAAAGCGAGTGTTCATTATACCAACAAATCTAAGCAAGGGCGTAAAAGTTAAACATACGAGAAGTAATGTAAACGAATATAATGATTTGGCCCTTTCAGAAAAATTTTTTAATTTTTTACGAACTTTTGCGGGAATTGGCAAATCATATCGTTTTGTATGTAAAGTAACAATCAAGACGAAAAAGGCGGAAAGAGAAATAAAAACGAGTTAGTTCAGATAGAGCTGATCCAAAAACATTTATCTAATCTTTTATTCCATGTTAACTTTTTTGGACCCTTAAATTAAATTATACTATTTTCCAAAAAATGAGAAAAAGAAAAAAGGGCGCTTCATGAATCATTTTAAAAGTTATTTTTCAGACCCAACATCTCTTAACATCCTTCCGTTTAACCAGTTTTGTATTTAAATCTGTCAATAAATCTAGGCACCCTGTGTTTTTTCTTAAACTAATTTTTGCAATTTTTTATTTTTATTGATCAATTTTTTACGTTAATTTTGCTATTGGATTTTTTGTGTTCATTTCTTACAGAAATTTTGAGAAGCAACTTTGCTCAGGATGGCGGTTACATCAAGGCAAGCAAACTTTCAAAGCTTGTCTTTCAAGGATAAACCAAGCCATGAACATCCTAGTCGCACGTTCCAAAATTTTTACAAAATCCTACATGAGCCCGCAAAATGCTACTGTCGTACTTCGCAACCCTTTAAGAATGCAGAACGGGAGTTGTTGCCGAAGAAATGTTGCGAAGGATGGATGGCGATATATAGAAATAACAATATCCTAAACTCCGTCATAAGAGAATAAAAATTCTATAAGCACAAAAGTAGTATATAAAGTGCGTATCTCTTGCATTAATCAATAAATCCATTAATTGAATAACATAAACTAAGAAAAAAATTTACGATTTACCGCTGGCACTTTACAATTTAAAATTAGCAGAGTGCCCTAAACAGTTCGTCGTAAGCAATTTGGCTCCTTGGGTATAGAAAATAGTTTCGAAGTGAAGTCCGATCAATTCGAGTAATTGCCTAAGAGTTCCATATTCGGAAATTTGACTTAAACTAAGATCGCGCAACAGTTCGGCTGGGCTGGATAGGAAAATCGTACCACTTCATAGGCTACATTATCTTTTGCATACCATGATGCTGTGTCAACGTCAGCACGATCGACAATTTCGGGCGAACGTGTTAACAATTTATAAATTTTTTCAGCTGCTGTTAAGCCCTTTTGAAAATTGGGAGTAAATGCTAAAGCACTAGTGATCGATACAGTTCCCATAGTTAAAGATTGAGCGACAATAAAAAACATCGCCAAATGCTGTCGGTATTACTTTTCCTTTTTTCTAGAATGATATGCGCGGAAAGAGTTTATTATAATAATTAAATTAAATATTTGAAATCGTAAATAATAAATATAATAATGCTCTTATATTGCTTGAAGTTACTCTTTTTTTATATTTATTCTATATGCTTTTGTTTCCAAATTTCTTACTCTTACATTTGTTTAAATTATTTATACTTATTCAACTTTTATTATCAAATTCCTTACACTTATTTAACTTTATATCTTAATAAACTATTTTTTTCTAAAGTTTTTTAATGCACCAAATTTTTTTTTATAATTTTAAAATTTTTCGGAATTTTTCTTATCTCTTTATATAAATGTTTCAAAAACTTCTCCTTGTGATTTTTAACCTTATTAATTTCTTTTTTAAAGTTTTTTTTCTGAATTATTCACTTCGTACAACTTCCTAGTGCGCTTGTAAAATTGCGTTGATTTTTCGCTAAAAGTCGTTAGCTGGTTTTTTCCTTTACATGGTTTAAAAAAAAAATTACCATGCGTTGTGAATAGAAAGAGAACAGAGTTGCTTTCAACAAATGGTGAAAAACCACCGTAAACGTTCTGTTAAAAGAGAAAATGGTGAAAAAGCACCGTACCCGTTCTGTGGGTTTTTCGTAGAACGATCCAAACATCGACCCCATTTTCGCACTTCTTCAACTTTGCGGACCCGGTATCGATCTGCACAAGTGGCAATCGGAAAGCGCCATGTCTCGGCGCACTGCTGATGCGCCACCAAGCACGTTACACAAGGAAAGAAACAGGAAGCAGCTCAGGAGATCGCTAGTAATTACTCTACAAAAGACAATAAAATGAAGACCGTTAATACCTGCACTGCACACCATTATTTTCTGACAGAGTTGCAGTATCGTTACCCGATTACGATATAATAGACATAACGCACTGTATAGTGATTAAATATACATAGGCTGGTTAGCCTACGCTTTAACTGCAAGAGGAACGAAGAGAGAATCTGCCGTATTTTGAAATAACACAGATCATCAATAAGAATACATACACTTTTTTACATGAATATTTTGTTCTAGCAAGAAAAAAAATTTTTTCAATTTTAATTTTTTTGATTTTGTTTATGACGTGGTCTACAATGCGGAGTAACCGAATTTTATGATCACTTCTTTCTTTATCTTGTGACCGTTACTCAGTATTTATTTGAGGCTAGAGTGTTCAGTTCGTAAAATGCAATAAATAATTTCGATAAAGCTCTTAAAGTTTATATAAATTTGTGTAGATAATAATCTTGTACTACTAAATTTATTCTAATATTCTTCGTTTGAATCAAACCCGGCTGTTTTGTTTAACATATCTTACTGATAATAACTAGTTGCTTAAAGTTGTTATCCTGTTTTTCAAGCTTCTTTCACTTGATTATTGTCATTATTGTTATTAGACTTTTTATATCAACACTTTCTAGTTAACTTTTGCAGTTGTCTGCTTTTGCGATTTTGAGAATAGAATAAGAAACGGAAAATAGCTTCAATATGCACTCAGATTTCGTTTCGCCGCAAACACAAGGTGTGCAATGACTTTGCCAGTTTTCTCTCCTGTAAAGCAACAAGCGATTTCATTTATTCAATAGCCAATAGTGAATTATAGTGCATTCGCAGATTGTGTAAAAAAGAAGAAGAAAAAGTCTTGCATTTTGCCGGTTTGAGCATTGTAGCTTTTACTTGGTAAAATGAAATCAGCTGTGATGTGAATAGCCAATAGACAATGTGACACATTTATGCATGGGCAGGCAGGCAAGCACACACATGATTGTTGTTAAGCTGAAAATTATAAAGCATCTATAAGTGCTATTTAAAGAGTATTGTTGTTAACAATACTCTTTACTCTTTGTTGTTCGTCTCTTATTATATTTTGATAACTGGGCGGCGAACTTGTGGAATTTGTGTGAATAGTTGTGTGAAATCGTGTTGCATTAACTAAATTAAATTTTTACTGGCGTCTATGAAGCCGAGAATAGCGCAACTTGTCGAAGAAAAGAACTATATTAAATGAAATGCAAATGCATATGAGTACACATTGATTGTTTGAGTTAATTTCTACGTTTTTTGTTTGTTTATCTCGTTTTTCTTCTTATTTTATATGTTTGCTTGATTCATAATGGCGCGGAACAATACTATGCATATGGTTAATCGGACTATTTTCTATTTTTCGAGCAATCTTTATCATATGTTTTTGCATGTCAGCACATCGGCTGCCATTACCTGCAATTTCTACACAAGGAGAACCTCGCAATCTTGAAGGCCTGAAAAGTCACTTTTTCTGCTGTTCTTCTGTATGCTGTTTCGTTTTGTTTCCAATTTTAACAATTGTAAATTGCCTTCTGCAATTTTGTTGCTTCAGTCCACAATAAATATGCATGAAATAAATTGACATTGCATGCATAGTAATTGTTTTGCATATATACATACAAATAAAACAAAAAGAAAGCTACGTCCAATAAGAAATAAAGACAATTTGGTTTAACTGACACAATGAGACGCTATTGTCGTTTTCGGGTTAACAACTCCCAAGTGGTAAACACAATGAGGAGCCGAGATACCATATTGTTTTACAGGAAAATGCAACCAAAAACATATGGTTTTAGAATCATAAATAAAGAAATCAACGTAAACGTAACGTTTTAAAAAAAATTACAATTTTGCTGATCTTCAAAATCTGATTAAGTTTTATAATACCATCGAGAGCCCTTTCTGTGTACTAATTCATCCATAATTTGGAAATTATCTTTTATGACTATCGAGTAGAACAATTTCAACTTTAAAATAAATGGCTTTTTCTGTTTGTTTTTCATTTCTGAAAAAATAATGCACAGTATAAATCAAAATTGCAAAGCATATAATTAAAAAAATGCACGTTAGTGAAAGATAAGCATTTATTAGATAAATAATCTTAAAATTTAAAAGCAACGATCTTCTTCTTGTGCTTTTTTTTTTTTTTGCTTTATTTGCTTGTATCCATACAAACCAATTGCCAATTCCCATAAACTTTATTAAGAGTCTGCAAAGTTGGGGTCCTTACCCGAAAATAGGCATTACTCCTCATTTTGCCAGCCCTCTTAGAGTCGGAAAACTTCAAAAAATTTTCTGACCATATTACTTACACCAACAAATACTATAGCTTTTTTAAGCTAACGCAGCATTTTGATAATTTTTTTTACTTCGACTTCTCAGTTATTGTAAAAGTGAATTGCACCAAATTTGAGACATTGACCATGAACGTATATCAACTTTTACATTTTCATCTGCATTTGATGGACTTTCAAGCTCCTAATATCTGTCTAGTGTTTAAATTGCATTAAAAGGCTTTAAATGCTTAATGAATTCTCTTATCCATATTTACAAATGTAAGAAGACTGTCGACAAATATGGAATATGTCTATTGGCGTGAACAAATGTGCAGAGATTGCAACGACTGCCACGCGTTTATAGATATATATCTTAAATCTGATATAGTCTGCATTTTTACGAAAATCGCAAATTTAATGATTTGAATTTGCATAAACAAAGTTGATTTTCTCAGAAATCTATTTCGTAGGGCTTTACCACAAAAATTTCATAATGAAATGAAATTATTGCTAACTTACTGGTAAAAATATATATAAGAACATTTGTGAAAGACAGAGTCAGTCAAGTTAAGAGAGTTGGATCGTAATATTCAAGCGGACAACACCATGAGAAGCATTGTGCATATAAGTTTCTGGAAGTAATTTGTTAGTAGATCTCCTAAAAATTGTGAATAAAATCTACGCTAAAATAAAAGATCACAATCCAGTGATACGAAGTTAATTTCAAAAAGAGTTGAATGGAAATGCAAAATTTCAAAGGGCAGTTCACGTTACAATATATTAAATTAAGGTGACCGTGCACCATTTGGCTCAGGTTCTCGACTCTGTTAAATATATAAAAGTTATTTACTTATAAAATAAGTTGGCATAGAATTCAACCTCCACGAATTTGGACCACCTAGGCCTAAATTTTCGACGCCATCGCATATAGGAAAAGGCCCAATTCTTAATGTTTCATGATGAAAATTTGTTTATGATAGTAATTTGATATAAAAATGAACTTGACCGTTGAGTCTATTTCTTGGATCTCATCTCATATAAGATATCTCATGAAAAGTAAGTCCTCCAAAAAAATATTGATTTTTAATATTTTATAATGAAAATTAGACCATAGCTGCAATTTATCAAGAAAATTAGCAATCAGAAAAATGGATAGCGTATGCCTATTTTTTAGACCCTAACATGCATAACGATTATCATGATAAGCCAGCCTTTATATGGAGAACAAGTATAATTTCTAGTGTTTCATGGCGGAAACTGAAAAATAACAATGTTATTTTGGGAATCCTGGAATGCGGCTGGCTTTCATCGAAAGTATGTCCTTGCATGATAATAATGTGTAATATCGAATGTATTGTAACTATACTAGGCGTAATTTAAAATAAACGAATATAATCGGTTTTAAATATATTCCCGGTGTTAAAATTAAATTTCATTCTCTTTTTGATTTTCTAATTTTTAGGCAAAGGATGTAAAGGATAAGCGAAACAAAATTTAAATAATTCATTTTAAAATGGATAGTTACTTCATAGAGAGACATACAATCCGACTTGAATGTTTATTACCCTATTGAAAACTGCACTATTCGCATAATTTAAAACGCTTGCATGCAATTGTTTCTAAAGTACTATACATTCATTGTCTTCCATTATTAACCCAATACCGGCTTAATGCACTAAACTTTCGCTGAAGGCAAATGAAACAATATGTACTAAGTGTAATGCGAGTAACGTCACTAAATAACCTTTTTGCTTGTTTGTTGTTTCAGGCCTTTAAAGAAATGCATTCAACAAACGAAAACCGTTTTATAGTCGTCATCAATAAAAGTCACTATCCTTGGAAGATTGCGGCAGTTAATGCGACAAAAGTGTGCAGAACCATTCAGTTGTTTGATCATCTCTCTCTTTTGACGTCATATATTTAATGCTAACTTGGTTAGATTATGAGTTTCGTTAAAGTAAGCGTTTAGTGAGCGTAAATTGTTAATAAGATTAAACTCAACAAGTTTTCAACCTGCATATTGTGCATGTATTATGCATTAAAAAGATCTTTATAATCTATTTAAGACGAGACAACAAAAGTCTTCCAAACAAGTGAAAAATTTTAATCGTCTTTTCGTATTAGAAAAAGACAAAGAAAAGCAAGTGAAAAAAGTGAAATGAGTGTTTCATACTCATCACCCATTACCCCCATTACACCCATTATCATTTACTGTAGGCTCCGCGGCCCACAGCGTGACCGATGAAAATTTGAATCTAAAACAAATAAGAAAGTTAAGTTAAATTCGTTCGGGTACGAAACTTTTATACCCATCACCGTTATCTTAAAAAAGACTAAAGAAGTAAAAGGAGAAGATTCTCATGCTCTACAATAGGAAGTGGCGCAGTCGATTTCTTCTATTTTCAAAATACAAGTTATTGTCTTAGAGACGTGTGGGCGTTGTAGGCGGGTGCTTTGAAATGTTTAGTCAAGTTTCAATTCTAAATTCTTCTGCAAATTTTTAGGCGAACTCTTCATTTTCGCTAACGGGAGAATGTTTACCACAAGTACCGCAAGGTTGCGCAGACAGACAGACGAGCAGGCGGACATGCTTCCGACTTTGAAACTGGCCAAGAATTATCATACTTTGTGGGGATTTTGAAGCTTATTTCTGCGCGGTATAAAGTTATTGGAAAAACAATTAAATCTTGATGCATTATAATATTGGGTAGGCGTGTTCAATTTTTTCCATTTTTGTGCACAAATACTGTAGACGATAGAATGCGTGGAATATGCGTTTAAGTTTTTGTACATTTATTTGCTGTAGTTTATGAGTAATGAGCAAAAAACCAATTTTTTATTGCTTTTGAAAAGCAGAGGTGTTCTCAGTTTAGGTGATACTTACGTGGGCGTGTCCTTCGGCAGATTAAGCCCATTTTCAATATCAGCCTGCTTGCAAGAACTTTCAATGTTTCTGCCACACTTAAAGTCGAAGCTTCATTTTTGCTAAGAGAATTTTGACAATAGACATTAAACAGACGGACAGACAGACATGTTTAAAAAAAAATGTACACACTTTGTTGGGTCCGTGATGCCTCGTTCTGTCAACGTTTTTGCAAAATAAATAAATCAAAACTTGCAAAATTTCGGTCGAACGCTTATAGGCATTGGAAGTCTACAATTTATTTTGGTTACTTTTGGGTAAGTTAAGATTAATCCAAAAGTGCGAGTGTTGGAAAAATTCCTGGTGTTTTTGAAACTAAATGACGGATTCTACTGAACTCAATCACACCCTTAATAACTAATTGCTACGTTTATTTGCGGGGGACGGAGATAATCTGCAGTCTTTATAATATTTTATTTGTTGAAATTTGAATGGATCAGTTGGAATTATGAAATGGGTGACGC